TTTCATTCCCAATATAAATTACCGATTCCATTAAATGAAACTTCAATTTCTAGACTCCATATAAAGAGTGAAGTTGCTAAAACTATTAAAAAGGCCCAACTTCTCATTATTGATGAATGCACCATGGCATCCAGTCATGCTATAAACGCCATAGACAGATTACTAAGAGAAATTATGAGTCTGAATGTTGTATTTGGTGGGAAAGTTCTCCTTCTTGGAGGGGATTTTCGACAATGTCTCAGTATTGTACTGCATGCTATGTGATCTAAAGTACTGCAATGTTTGGGGATGTTTCAGAAAGTTGTCTCTTACAACAAATAAGAGATCAGAGGATTCTGCTTATAGTGGATGGTTAGTAAAACTTGGAGATGGCAAACTTAATAGCAGTTTTCATTTAGGAATGGATATTGAAATCCCCTGTGAAATGATTTGTAATGGATCTATTATAAAAGCTACCTTTGGAAATACTATATCTATAGACAATATTAAAAATATATCTAAACATGCAATTCTTTGTCCAAAAAATGAGCATGTTCAAATATTAAATGAAGAAATTTTGGATATACTCGATGGAGATTTTCACACATATTTGAGTGATGATTCCATTGATTCCACAGATGATGCTGAAAAGGAAAATTTTCCCATCGAATTTCTTAATAGCATTACTCCTTCAGGAATGCCGTGTCATAAATTAAAATTGAAAGTGGGTGCAATCATCATGCTATTGAGAAATCTCAGTAGTAAATGGGGTCTTTGTAATGGTACCAGACTTATTATCAAAAGATTACGACCTAACATTATCGAAGCTGAAGTATTAACAGGATCTGCAGAGGGAGAGGTTGTTTTGATTCCAAGAATTAATTTCTCCCCATCTGACACTGGCCTCCCATTTAAACTGATTTGATGACGGTTTCCCGTGATGCCAGCATTTGTGATGACTATTAATAAATCACAAGGACAAACTCTAGACAGAGTAGGCATATTCCTACCTGAACCCATTTTCGCACATGGTCAGTTATATGTTGCTTTCTCTCGAGTTTGAAGAGCATGTGACGTTACAGTTAAGTTCTAAATACTTCATCACAAGGGAAATTAGTCAAGCACTCTGAAAGTGTTTTCACCCTTAATGTGGTGTACAGGGAGATATTAGAATAAGTTTAATCACTTTATCAGTCATTGTTTGCATCACTGTTGTTTTTATATCATGTTTTTGTTGTTTTCATATCATGTTTTTGTCATTTTTATATCATGCTTCTGTTGTTGTTATATCCTTTTGTTACTGTTTATTAATAAATTTATATATTATTTTCATATACATTTTACTAAGTTCCTTTTATCTCTCACACTTCTATTATAGAGAAAGGGCAAACAGCAATATTAAAATATCTCCGCTAATTATTTCCCTTTTAATGTGCACGAATTTCATGCACCGGGCTAGTAGTTTGAAGATAATACAACAAAAGGCCACACAACATGTTCTGTGACAAAGGGAGTCACTCCAAACAAAGGAAGTCACAGTTATCTGGAAGTTAATTAAGTAAACAAGATGGGCCTCTTCAGCTGGTGACTCTAAGTTCCAGAGATATGCTTCCAGTTCCAAATCTCTTCTAGTTCTCCCTGCAGTTTGGAACTACCAGGCAATCAGTTGATGAGCTTGATTCAGGATCAGTGACAGAGGAGGTTGCTCTAGGAGTCTCCAGGTGAGCCAGTGACCATGTCCTCAGTCACAGGAGGCCTGGCCAAGACAATACAGTACATGGGGCTCCTCCTACATCTCTCCACTGCTGCCTAAGACAAGTTTGACTGATGAATTATTGCCGAGTTTGCTCTCCCCACTATAACCTTGAAAAATGTATAAACTTAAGGTAGCCAGAGATGCAACAGAGTACCAAAGCCAATTGTCAATTGTATAATAACCTACTTTGCATTAATACAGGGGCCTTTTTGTGAGCTTTTCAAATTTTTTTAAACCTATAAAGCACTTAAAAGTCTATAGCTTCATAAGCATTAAATGAGTGTTAGCTAATATTATTAGCCCAGTAACCCCTTCCCAATCTTAGTGCTTTAATTCCTCCCTATTTTCAAAAGAGCTATGCTACTTTAACACCATTTTCAATTTCCCAAATGTTAGGGAGATCACGGAAGCCACTTTGCAAAAGGGATCATATACTTCCTCCAACTCCCAACATGAAATAAAGACTCCCAAAAAATCTTATTCAAAACAACCATAATTTAAATGAGTATACAGATAAAGAAAAATAAATATAAGGCTTATTTATTTTTCAAGTCCCAAAGAAATTTAAATGAGGCAAAAAGGAGAAAATAGTGGTGTAATTAGACACTTTTATAAGTATGTATTAAAAAAATCTGTCTGAAAGCACACCTATTTTAAAGCTAAGCAAATAGTATGTCAAATAATTGGTTTAACATGCATGGGCTAGTAAGGACTGGTATGTATACTAGTACATCATAATTCTCTGCTCAATTTGTAAGACATCTTAAACTTGGAAATTAAAACCTTGATAAGAAGAAACAGCTTTCTTACACATTGCCATTTTTAGACTAGCCATATGGGTTTGATCTTAATGTTATTGTTTGAACAAATGAAAGCAATGACTATTCTATAGCCCAGTGATGGCGAACCTATTACATGCGTGTCAGAGGTGACACGCGAACTCATTTTTTTGGTTGATTTTTCTTTGTTAAATGGCATTTAAATATATAAAATAAATATCAAAATATAGATCTTTGTTTTACTATGGTTGCAAATATCAAAAAATTTCTATATGTGACACGGCAGCAGAGTTAAGTTAGGGTTTTTCAAAATGCTGACACGCCAAGCTCAAAAGGTTCGCCATCACTGCTATAACCCAATATTATGTAGAAATGCCTCCTAGTTTGGAATTTTTTATTTTTCTCTGTTTTTCCATGTTTCCGTTTCTTTAACAATGCATAAAATTGGTTTAATAGCTTGAAAATGTTACTTGGCTTAATAGCTTGAAACAGCTATTGATAGATACCTTTGTGGAGGTTTCATTTTTTGTTTTCAGGTAATAGCAATCAATTAGATAAAACAATCATTTTCTAGGCAATGTGGCCCATCAACAAATTAGGAAAAACAAACAAACAACCACCCTGAAAAGAGAATATCACTCTATGAGATTCTTACAGCTATAAAAAAACAAACGCATGAGGCTCACCACAATTAAAGTACAACCAAAACGCTCAACCTTGGCCCATTAGCATTACATTTGCTTATCAATCTCATCTTTGTTTTCTGAAATGTCAAATAACTTTTGACCCCAATTCTATATATATAAAAGGCTAATATGCAAAGTGTCCCCTCGTGAGTTCGACCGGAAGACTGGGAGTTCAATGGCTCGCTATGATGTGCACTGACCACCAGGAGGTGGCGCGGAATGAAGGAAGGCCCCGGCCAGCGGCCGGCAGCCGGGGAAGGAAGGCCCTGGCCGGCAGCCGAAAGGCCCCAATCAGCCCTGATCACTGGTCAGGCCTAGGGACCCTACCTGTGCACGAATTTCATGCACCGAGCCTCTAGTTTTCTATACAAAGGAAAACTACACAGAATTCATTTGTACTTGATTTGAAGGAGCCAGGGAAGGAGGGAAGTACACAGTACAGAATACAATGAACACTATTAAAGGAAATGATATCTGGAGGTTGCAAATCATTAGCATCTCTAATACATTAGCAAAGTCCTACTGACCAAATTGCCTGCAAAAAACAGGTTATTTCTGCCAAGTGCCGAGTCTGGTTTCTCACACCATTTTATTTCAAAAGCATTTTATGAGAATCTGCTACATATTCTACCTCCCATCTGGTTCACATTTAACAATGTATCCCACCCTGTTCCTTTTTAGACTCCAAAAACAGATGTCCCCAACATCACATGAATGTGGCAGGTCACACTGCATCAGCTAACTTTTCTGGCTTCCTTTTCTTCTCTTGCAGTTAAGGTGAACTTGAGCTATTTGCAACCTTTTGTGTCATCTCACTTCAGAAGTAATAAAATGGGCCCAAGTACTTTAACTCATAAAATAAAGAAGATTGGTGGGTATTTACAGGAGATCAAACAGGAAAGCAGGGCAGGCTCCCACCTAACAAGTTTCCTAATGAGTTTACATTCTCATCCGGTGAGGCAGGGTAGACTACCCAGGAAGGAAGAGAACAGCAATGCTTCTTATTGAATTTACTCCTGAGGCTTACATGGTGCCCTCTGCCATCACTGTAATTACCATCAGGGAACTTTTATAATCAATATATACATCAGGAAGTTATGCACAGAGCATACAGATTAATATTCTCCAACATGAAGTACTTGCACATATTCCTTAAAGGACCTCTAAACATTTGTAGAGAAAAAAAGTCATACTTGTAAATAGTTCTGTGATATGTATACATATATGTGTGTGTGACTATATGATTATATATTTAAAATATAAATAATTATATTCAGTGCCTGAAATTCAGGAACAAAACTATTAATACTAATTTTTATTCTATTGTACCTAATTTATATTTTTGGAAACATGATTTAATTCAGAAATACTAACATCTGTGTAATAACATCTTGTATTGGAATTGAGTTCTACTGTATCATTATATTATGCTTAATTGAGCTTTTATTTATAGTTTTAATCACATATTTATAACAACGCAAATTTTGATAGTGCTAGGAACCCCTGTAGATAATAAACTATAAAAATTAACTCAAATGTCCCAAATGGATATCAATATATGGCTTTTTTTCTTAATTGTATATGAAATTATATACATGAAATAATTTAATGGGTATATGAGAAATTATATTCATGAAGTAATTTAATGGGTATAAGAGAAAATAACCACATGAATTGAAAAATGTTTTCTTTATGCCAAATGTACTAATAAGTAAAACTGGTATAAGAAATGCTATTTACTCTACACTGTGATTGCTAATGTTTAACAGTAGTCCTATGAAATATTGAAATATTGCCTACCTGCCCCTTTCAACTGCTAAGGCATCCAGTTCATCAAAGAAAATAATGGAAGGAGCCACCGCTCTCGCTTTGCGGAAGATCTGGTGGAAAGAAGAGCGCCACATTAGGGAAAGATCAGCAAACTCCAAAAAACTCCTGTCATTCGTTTTAGTTTGAAAACTGTTCAGAACTGAATCTATTATGTACAAGATAATCAGCCCAATCATTTTGTCTACAACCTATAATAGACGGATACACACTGCACAAAGGTAAAGCAACAATATGTATCCATAGAGGTCTGCCTGTAGGAGGTAATGTGATTAAGCAATCAAACAATCTCAGCTAAAATCCCAACTCCACCATTTCAGTAGTTGTATGACCTTCAGAGTAGCTAACTTTACTTCTCTGAACTTCTATTTCTACATCTATAAAATGCAGATAATAATAAATGCCAATATCAGAAGATTCTTTTCAGAACTAAATAAAAAATAATAATAATGCAAAGCATTTAGTACAATGCCTAAAACATATTAAGAACTCAGTAAGTGGCAGGTATTATTAACTATAATCAACACATATTTAAAAGAAAAATCATACATGTGCAAAATCAACCATAGCTTAGCATATAAAATACCCATAAACTCAAACCAAGCACCTTGTTCATGTCATTGAAGACTTTATGGGAAAGGAATAGTTTACGGGACAAGAAAAATGGCCAAAACTTGGAAGATCATTGGTTGGTTATACCACAAGTCAATCAAACTATCAACACCAGTGACTGGCCTGATAGCCATGAGTGTGACATGTGGAAATGGGTTAGAAAAAGCTTGCACAGACAGAAAGAAATCCAAACGTGTGTTACCTGAAATCTAGGCCCCCATTTTCTTGTCACAAGTATCATGACCATAAAAATACAAAACAGTTACCAAAGCATTAATATTTATAAAGATCACTTTATTTCATTTTTATTAATGATAGTGCTGTCATTATCAATTAATGTTTTATACAATTATCTTCACCTACATTTTAAAAGGAAAAAATTAACTTAAAATTTTTTCTCAGATAAAAAGAAAGTGTCCCAATCTGTAACACTCAGGTAACTTCACAAGTGGAGACCATCCACTCCACTGCTATTTGTGTGTTCTTGTCCTTGCTTAGCTTCTGTGAGGATAGAGGGTGCCTATGTGAGGCAGGCCCACCTCCGCTTGGGAAAGTCAAGACTTGTGGTCAAACTGCTGTTGTTACCCAAATCCAGCACCTTGATTTTACATGAATTTAGTACATGTAGCTTCCGCAATATGAAGGAGTGGCCTATCACTTAGGCACAGGCTAAATGAGAGTACAGTGGCGTTTTCATATACTAAGCTTACTCGATTTAAAGGACTATCTAGTTTAAAGGATTTAAATCTCATTCTGAGATCATGTGTTCTTTGTAAGTATACACATGTCATTTCTAAAATAAAATGCTGGCAGTTGTTAAAAAATCTTTATTTGGTAAAACTAAAGGATGGTACTACTATGAGGCTTAAAAACAAAATATTATAGGTGGTCAAAAATGCATTTTTAAATAATAAAATAATATTTGCCTAAAGAAAAAATATACCACTAGAATTTAGATTTGGAAATTTCAAAATCTGTAACCCAAGCAAAATGGAAATCATACAGAGGACAGAAGTATGGTTCTCCTGTGCAGAGTTCCACTTTGCGGCATCATCTTCTTACCTCTCTAACAGCTCTTTCAGATTCACCAACATATTTATTCATTAATTCAGGCCCCTGCATGAGAAGAAAACATCTGTTTAGTTCTTTATAAATATAACCACGAGGAAAGAGCAAATACATACATGAAAGAAGAAAAGGGGGGGAAATAAATAAAAATATGCTTATAATTAGTTCCTTTAGCATGCTTAGTCTCACTAGATGTTATTTGTGCCTCAACAAATTAAGCCATTCCATGTTCCAAAAACTTCACATCGATACAAAGGCAAGGCTGTGACCATAAATATCTTGTTCTCTGTCTACCCGTTGCCCCCATTTTCACCCTATATCAGGCACAGTGCTAGGGTTAGCTGCTAGCATGGGTACATATAGTACGGTCTGTGAGGCCCATATTTGATCGTAAGTTATTTAACTCTTTAAGAAAGTGATACATAAATCCCTAGAATAGATCAGATCAATGAGACTGGATAAGGTTATTTCTTTTCCAATTTTACTTACCAGATAACTATGGTGTGTCAGTCCTACCACATTCCACCTGTCTAGATACCATGTGCTTCACTGATAAGGGGGATCAAGAAAACTACCAGAAGGGCCTTCAACCATGTGAGGACACAGCAAGAAGATAGCCATCTCTGAACCAGGAAGTGGGATCTTACCAGACACCAAATCTGCTGGCTCCTTGATTTTGGACTTCTAGCCTCTAGAACTGTGAGGAATAAATACCCAATCTATGATATTTTTTTATAGCAACCTAAATGGACTGAGATACCATTTAAAACAGGGACTGGCAAATTTCTTCTGTAAAAGGCCAACTAGTAAATATTTTAGATTTTGGAATCCAAAAAAGGAAAGAAAAAAAAAAAGAAAAAGAAAACTACCAGTACCATATACTGGCTTAGTTGAGGGTAGCATTATTTTGCATGTTTCCATGGCTGAGATCAAGTGTTCAAGTTTACAAAACAACAGAAATAGCATAAATGCATGTAAAATATTTGTCCAGCTGTTGAATCTAGTGTGAACTAAACCTGACTTATCTTTTACTGTTTCATTATTTTACACCATATCAGTCACAAATTCAAGGGCAATATTTATACCTCATACTCTTGCAATTTTGTCCCTTTAATCTACTGGGTTTCTTCCAGACTTCCCAAGGGCTTTTTAAATGTGTCTGACACCTGCCTGTTGCTTTTGGCTATTACAATTCAAATCAAGTTTTTATAAGTTCTGAAATGTCTAGGGAAGGCAAGTTAACCTACGTGTTAACTATAGTTAAATGTTATGGAATATGCTCATAAAAACCCAAACTCACATGAGATAGAATTACATATATGTAATATAAGTACAGGATCTTGAAAATTAATTTTTAAAAAACCAGCATCAGCACATACAGAAGGCCATTTTGGAAAAGCACTTCAAAAAATTTGAAAACAGGCATTTCATACCAGGCCTTGGGTAAGTTTCTACTAAAAAGTGACAAAGGGCCCTGACCAGTTTGGCTCAGTGGATAGAGCGTCGGCCTGCGGACTGAAAGGTCCCAGGTTCGATTCCAGCCAAGGGCATGTACCTTGGTTGCGGGCACATCCCCAGTAGGTGTGCAAGAGGCAGCTGATCGATGTTTCTCTCTCATCGATGTTTCTGACTCTCTATCCCTCTCTCTTTCTCTCTCTTTAAAATATATTTTTAAAAAATAAAAAAAAAGTGACAAAGGCTGAAGAAAGGGAAGATAATTCAAGCTGTTCGTCTCAATAAGTATAATACAAACCTTCTCCATAATTCATTCACTCAAAAGAAAACAAACAAATTTTAAGAACTTACACTGAGGACACCATGCTGACTCCATTTAAGCTAACAGTAAAGTGTACATGCCCACATGTCCACAAAAACTCTTAGTATGTTATTCCTGACTCTCTTGTCTCAATCTTCTTTATTATCTATGATGCATAATCTTAAACACTGGGTCTCAACTTCCACACTCTTATCTCTAGAAATCACCATCCTCTTGAGCTACAAATCCATATTTACAATGGCTTTTGGGACCCATCTGCCATGTAGTTTTAAAGGCATCTCAGCCTGGCCAATATGGCTCAGTGGTTGAGCATCAACCCATTAACCAAGAGGTCACTGGTTTGATTCCCAGGGCTCAATCCTGGGTAGGGAGTGTGCAGAAGACAGCCGATCGATGGTGTTTCTCTCTCATTGATGTTTCTATCTCTTTATCTGTCTCCTTCCTTTCTCTCTAAAAATCAGTTAAAAATCAGTTAAAAACTTATTTTTTAGCCCTAGCTGGTTTGGTTCAGTGGGTAGAACGTCAGCCTGCAGAATGAGATGTTCCGGGTTCAATTCCTATCAAGGGCACATGCCCAGGCAGGTTGCAGGCTCCATCCCCAATGTGGGCCGTTGACAAGGCAGCCAATCAATTATTCTCTCTCTCCGTGGATGTTTCTCTCTCTCTCTCTCCCTTCCTCTCTGAAATCAATAAAAATATATTAAGAAAACAAAAACAAAACAAAAACTTATTTTTTAAAACAGTATAAAGGCATTCCCAAACTCCACATGTCTAAATCCCAATTTATTATTTGCTTCCCCACCTCCAACCAGCTTCTTCTCCTCACATACTCTTTCCAGAGTTACGGTACTTCCACCTGTCAGTCATTGGAAACAAACAAACAAAAACAAAAAAAATTCACCTCGAGTTCTCCCTTTGTTTCTCAATTTTCACATACAATTAATCATCAAGATTCTAAATATTACCCATTTCATTATGTCATTTGTTTAGTTAAGTGTCTCTCTCACTAAATTATGGGCTGACAGATAACAAGGAACCATCTAATGCATCTTTGCTTACCACTGACAATGCCTGACATGTATAGTTTGAAATTATTGTTGCAATTAAAACATTTACAGATATTTTTAAATTGTTATGAATGTAAATTTGTAATATTTATTTCAACTCCAATTAAATTCTATTTAAAAAGATTGAAAAGAACAACTAGTCTCTCTCAGCTGGAATCTATGAATAAAAAAATTAAACCAACCCAATAATAAAGTTTTCTTCTCTATTATTAAATAAACTTCTTAAGAGTCTGAAAGCACTCTTCTCTTTCTAAATTTTTCTTGGTTCTCTTAGATTCCAATTGCTAAAGGTTTTGTTATTATAGTTCATATTATTGTCATTTTTTATTTTAGCCAAATGTAATAGGATGTTTTCATATCAAGACATATATTTCATATAGCAGTTTTATCAACTGATACAGCCTAACTAAAAAAAACATTTTATTAACATAGTTTTAACATATTGGTGTCTCAACTTTAATATGTCAACTTAAACAGTGTACAAAAAATGCCAAATTTAAGTAAATCCAATCTAACTTCTACAGAAGTTTGTTATACTGACAATGGCATATTAACTACTCTATTTGTCTTAAGAATAATAGGTTACTATTCCCTAACAGCCATTCTAACAATGATAAAATTAAGTATATGTCTTTATTTAGTACTGATGTTAATAATTGCCAATTTAAGTGTATGGGGCACATTATACAACATTATTGGGAGAAGTCAAGGGGATTTTTAAAGTTAAAAAATAAAAACTCTAAAGGAAATTAAATAGAAACTCAAAAGGTCTCAGACTCTAGACAAGTCCACATGACAGCAAACCTATAGAAGGAAAAGAAAGAGTTAACGTCCACAAAAGGCACACAACTGAACATAGTTCTTGGTGAGACTCTAAATTAGAAACTGTACCCAAGGTGAAAGAAAAAATAACCAAAACTCTAAAAGAAAGTATTCTTTAGAATATGGGGTCTGGGTCTGGGGCCAGAACCAACACACATCTTTATAGGCTTCAACAGAGAACAGCAGTGAAACAGGCAAGCTCAGGGCAGCCCAAACCCAGGAGGTTCCCCAGCCAACTTCCTCACAGGGCTTTTCTTAGTAACTTTCCACTACCACCAGGAACAGAGGGATAAAGAACTGGAAAGGTCTCCTCCATTGTCCTCACGCAAGGAATCGACAATCTTCCCAATGCTTTTCCTTCCCTGCATTCCACTCATCCTGTAGGGTGCAGGACACCACTCTGAGCCGGCCTTTAATTTCAATTACATTCACTGAATGTCTATAATATGCCCAGATCTGTGATAGTGACTTTAAAACTCTTTTATTTAATTAATTAATAGACTTTTTCTTGGGAAGAGGGGAGTTTAAGACTTACAGAAGAATTGAGCAGACAGTATAAAGAATTCCCATATGCCCAACCCTACCTCCCACCACACACTAAGTTTTCCCATGATTAATATCATATATTAGTATGGTACATCTTTTACAATTACTAAACCAATATTGCCCTAGCCAATTTGGCACAGTGCATAAATCATCGACCTGTGAACTGAAGGATCCTGAGTTCCATTCTGGTCAAGGGCACATGCCCTGGTTGCGGGCTCGATACCCAGTAGGGGGTGTGCAGGAGGCAACCGATCAATGATTCTCTTTCATCACTGACGTTTCTCTCTCTCTCCCTTCCTCTCTGAAATCAATAAAAATATATTTTTTAAAAACCACAATACTAATGCATTATTAACTAAACTCCACATTTATTCAGATTTCCTTAGTGTTTAGCTAATGTCCTTTTTCGGTTCTAAGATCTTATCCAGAAAGTCCTAACATTATATTTAGTTATCATGTTTCCTTGGGATCCTCCTCACAATACAAAAAGCACATACTATTAACATGACTAATCACTGAAGATGTGAACCTTGATCACCTGGTTGAGGTAGTATTTGCCAGACTTCTCCACTAGAAAGCAGCTCTTCCCCACCCCGGCTTCCATACTGAACTCTTTGGTTGGAAGGAAGTCATAACCATATGCAGCCCATATTTAAGGAGTGGGGTAGTTATGCCCTCCAAAATTTTTTCACCTATCTTTTTAATCTAGTCCTCTCAAAAAGCCTATACAGATAAAAAAAACTGAGACTTAAGAGAACTTGTTTAAGGTTACAGAGCAAACATTTAGTACTAGGGTTAGGAATCAAACCAAAGCCACCTGAACCCTAGCTTAGTGC